GTGAGCCGAGATCGTGCCATTGCACTCCAGCCTGGGTAACAAGAGTGAAACTTTGTCTCAAAAAAACAAAACAAAACGAAACAAAACAAAACAAAACAGATAGGCAGTGAAAAGCCTCTCTCCCTCTCTCAAACATCCAGTTCTCCCCACAGGCAACTGTCGAAATAGTTTTTGGTGGGTTTTTAAAAATTGCAGTTAAATATGTATAGCATAAAATTGAGCATTTTAGCCACTTTAAAGTGCACGGTTCAGTGGTGTGAGGTATATTCACATCGTGTGCAACCATAGCCAACAACCACCTCCAGAACTTTCTCATCTTCCCCAGTTGAGTTTACCCAGGAAATAAACACTCTCTGAAATGGGTTTTTGTGAATCCTTCCAGAGGCATTTTATGCACATTCAAGCAAATACATGTAAATATTCTTCCTTTAAAAACATACAAATTATTATTTTTAAAAGCACTGAGGCTGGGCACGATGGCTCATGCCTATAATCTCAGCTACTTGGGAGCCTGAGGCAGAAGAATCGCTTGAACCCTGGAGGCAAAGGTTGCAGTGAGCCGAGATCATGCCACTGCACTCCAGCCTGGGTGACAGAGAGGGACTCATCTCAAAAAAAATAAATAAATAAAAATTGGGGTTGGGGGGCTGGCCTGGTGGCTCATACCTGTCATCCCAGCACTTTGGGAGGCTGAGTCAGGAGGATCACTTGAACCCAGGAGTTGAAGACCTGCCTGGGCAGCATAAGGAGACCTTGTCTCCATAAGAAATTTAAAAATTAGCCAGGTGTAGTTCCAGCTGCTTGGGAGGCTGAAGTGGGAGGATCGCTTGAGCCCAGGAGGTCAAGGCTGCAGTGAGCCATGAACACGCCTTTGTACTCCAACCTGGGTGACAAAGGGAGACCTTGTCTCAAAAAAAAAAAAAAATTCTAAGCAACCCTACCAACAATACATAATACAAAATCACATCTTTCTGTTCAGCCTCTGATCAAACACATCTCTGAACTATATACATTCGTGGAGCTTTGGGCCCCTCTCAGGCGGCCTCTCTCCTTGAGGTTCTGGTGC